TGGGGCCACTAAATCCTATTATCTCACCACAGACTTACAACACATTGTTCTTTAAAACTCAAGATACTTTGGAAGACTAGTGTGAAACAATTAACTCATGTTTAGTGGGGCCACTACATTCCACGGACTTACAACATAAACATTGTTCTCTTTCTACAACCTAAGTTAAGATAAAAAGTACTTTATGTTTTCCAGGCACCAGCTTTTCTTATATCAAGCCCCCCCTCTCCCCCCACGTCTTTTACAAATTCTTTTGCTATGTGACTCCGTTTTGCTCAAGCGTTGTGGCCCTTTTTAACTTGTTGTCTAATCTTGTGTCTTTAGCGAGCTTTGTGTCTGTTACTGTAAACTGGTACAGTTATACCCACATAACCACACCTATGATTTGCGAAAGCCAATAGAGCTACGTGTTTATCACGTTTGCGTGCACACACACAGAGGCTCAGACACACGCATGCGTGCGTCCATCAACTCACAGGACACGGGCAGAACGAACAGCCCAACAGTTTTATTGGTGACTTCGAAGAACTTCTATCCTGCTCCATGAATAAGGAGCATCACGCTGGGGCTCAGGGCGCTTGTGGGGCAAGCAAAAGCCATTTTTCCTCTGCTGACACATGGGCACCAGAAACCCCTGACCAGCTTCTGGGATATCTGAAGTGACAGCAAGGACATAACAGCAATGTCACAAAAGCCATTGGGGAGGGAGTTGGAACTGAGTGAGCATTAAGCTCCCTCCCAACCCAAACCACTCAGCAAGTTTATGCTTCTATGAACATCAAGGAAATAAGAGCTGGGAAATAATAGCTGAGAAAATAACAGAAAGGAAATAGCATCTAAGGATATAGCCAAGGAAGCAACATCAAGGAAACCCTCAGCAGTTCTAACACGGAACAAGAGCTGAACTCGGCACCAGCATTACCTTATGTCAGAGACCACCTCTTCCAAATCTGACTCCTTGTCCCTGTCTGTGTCCTTGCTCCTGCTCCAGCACTTGGGCCGCAGCTTCTGAAAGCACCTGGAAACAGGCAGGAGCAGGAGGATGAGAAGCAAAGGATGAACTCCTCCAGTGCTGGAGGAGTTGGGGCGCTCTGGGCAGGGCTGGGTGCTGCTGGAGCAGAGCCTGTTGGGGCGGGGCAGGGCAGGGCAGGAGTTACCGCTTCAGGCTCCATCTGCTGCTGCCTTGGGAATCCTCAGCACGTTTCTTGGCACAGAGCTGGTGATAGAGAGACAGAGACTCGGAACATGGAGGTTTCCACAGAGAATTCTGCAGCACGGGGGAGATGGAAGGCTCTTCCTCCAGCCCAGTGCCGTCTACACACGTGCAAGGCTGTGCCAGCAGCCACACCTTTAAGAGCCCCCCCTGCCTCCCTGCCCAGCTCCCTGCTGCTCCCTGCCTCTGGAATGACCCAGAGTTCTCCTCAGCGTTGTTAATTTCTGCCTTTCTCCTCTGCACAGAGCTCTGCAGGCTCCCCGCCCCACCCATTCAACCACCGCCTGCAACACGCACCATGCCTTCTAAAGACATGAAAGCTCATTTCGCTATTTGGAGAAGGCTCCCAAAGGGAGGTTCAAACTCCGCAGCAACGATTGGGCCCCTGCCCTGTGCCCGGGCACGGCCCCGACACGCTGGAGCCGCAGCACCATGCAGAAAGGCTGGGTATGGGCTCAGGGCAGGGAGCAGGGGCATTGCTGCACGGCTGGAAGCAACGGGTGCTGCAACAGAGCAAGGCCAGGCCAGGAGCTGGGGAGGGGATGCTTGGGGCGAGGGACTGCAGGCTAGAGCCTGGTAGGGGCTGATGGCAGAGGCTGTGATGAGAGGGAGCTGCAGCCCGCCTCAAGGAAGGAGATGCTGGGAACATGCACAGCAGAGCTGGGGACAGACCCTGGCAGGAGCCAGGAGAAGCTGCTCCCAGCAACTATGAACACCTCCAAGCTCCAGGGTGGGGTAGCACAATGAGCTCCAAGTCTGGGAAGACATCTCTTGTGCACGCCAGCACATCCACAGGCATCCTCAGCAGCTCCCGGGCCCCATGAGCACTGTGGGAGCACAACCCCCCCCCCGCCTCTGTGCTCTTCAGCCCCAGGGTTTGGCTGGCAGCGCTCTGCCAATCGAGTCCTTGGCTCACCTTGAAACAGCACTGCACCAGGAGAGCAACGGACGTGAGGGTCTGTAACAGCGAGAGCGACAGCACCAGCGGCAGCCAGCGGTCAAAGGTGTGATTGGCCATCTCCTGGGAGAAAAGGAGAGTGCATCAGGGAGGAGAGGAGCGGGGAGGGAAGGGAGGCTCCCTCCATACCCCACTGCCCAGACACACACATGCAGCCGTGCCCCATTCTCTCCTACCGTCTCTGCAGATTCACTGCCCATCTCCCCCGCCTGGACTTGGGCATGGGGACGAGAGGTGCCGGCATCCTCCTCCTGCACACACTGCTCAAGGAGGTCAGAGGGCTCCGGGTCACGCTGCCTCTCACTCAGCAGCCTCAGGAGCAGCCCCGTCCTCGAGACCATCTTGGTGCAGGCCTGCTGGAGCTGGGGCAAGCCACAGTCCTCACGCAGGGCTCGAGCCATCTGTGCCATGAACCTGCGCAGGGCTCCATCTGGCACCAGAGAGTGTAGGTGGCGGCTGAGCAGGGTGTCAAAGGGGGGTCCTCGCGTGGCCGCGCCGCCCGGAGCGCTGGAGCTGCCCTGTGCTGTTGGGCTCGGGGGTTCCTGCTCCTTGTGCTGCCCGTGTGTGGTGGTGCTTGCAGGGGTGGTGGGTGGTCTCCCGCCTAGAGAGGAAGGCTCTGCTGCAGCCATGTCCTCTGGTGTGCTGCTGGCAACAGGGGGGCCATTTTTAGCCTGCAGAGCGTAGAAGAAATGCTGCATAGTGCTCAGTCTCTGCTCTGCTCCACCCTCTGCTGCTGCGGGCTCTTCTTCTGCACCCTCGCTGCCCACTGTCCCATTGCTATCCTGCTGCTTCTTCTCCTCATCTGTTCCAGCAGCATCCTGTGTTGGGGATGGTGCTTCCTCCTCATCTTCTGCGCTATCCTCATTCTCCATCCTAACAGGCGTGTTGGTCTGCCCCATGGCATTGAAATGATCCTGACTCTCGCCAGACCAGTCGAGATTTGGGTCCTCTGTTGGGTATTGTGCAGGGGGCTGTGCTTCAGGAGGGCTGGGTGTTCTCTGGTGGCTGGAGACTGGGAGGATGTCGCTGAGGTTCACACTCTGCACTGCTTCCCATAAGATGGACTCTGCGCGGGTCAAGCCTAAGCCAGGCTCCTGTTGCTGCCAGTTTATGGCTCTTCCTCCCTCCCCTACTGCCACCTCGTGCCCCTTGTCCCTCTGCGCTGGCCAGGCTGTGCTGGGGCTTTTCACAGTCAGGATGCTCGTGGCCTTGTGCAGCTTGTTCTTTAGCTGTGCCACGAGCCCCTCTGCTAGGAAATAGAGCCTCCTGGTGTCAATAGAGCTGCTCCAGCCCCTGTGCTGAATGCTCTGCAGCATCAGCGTCAGCTCCTTGGCGGTGTTGCCCTCCTGCCTCGAGAGCTGCTGAGGGGAAGTTGCTGATGCATCGGGGCTGCTCAGGCTCCAGGCAGCTGTGAGCGTGACGGTTCTCTGCCCCCTGAGTGAAGGCTCCTTAGGCTGGAGATTCAACACGGACCTGCTGTTCCCTTTCTTGGGGGGCACCGGTCCCATTAGGAGCCCTGGTGTCTCTGCCAGGGGAGCTGTAACACACCAAGAGCACTTCAGTGACAAGAAGCTTTCTGCCAGACACAGGCTCAGAAGGTTCACTATAGCTGGGGGACATGGGCAGGGCTGTGGGCCAGTTACCGCAGCGGGGAACAGTGCTGTTGCACACGCTCATGCAGTCGAAGCTGAGGATCCTGCATGGGGTCTCAGTGCTGTGCTTGTGCTGGCAGAGGCAGCAGGCCGTGTCGATGGACAGCTTGCTAAAGAACAGAGGTAGTGCACAAACATTCAGCATCGCAACCCAGGCAGCGACTCCAACCCAGGTGGCGCACAGAAACGCCTCAGGGGTCTGCTTCAGTGTCTGCTGCAGCTCTGGGAAACTTCCCCTCGCTCCCTGTGTCCCAATGGATACTTTTGTGCTGCTGGGTTTGTTCCCCACACAGACCCTTTGTCCCAGCAGCTGGGATCTGCTGGAGGTGGGAGCCAGCCCCCCCACACTCACAGTGTTTCTAAGCGGGATGTTCTCAGGAGCAGCATGAGCAGCGTCTGCCGAGTCACTCGTGTGGCACCCAGGTCCCTGCAAGGGTTTCAAGAAACACATTACATTTGAGGTGGCGGCACCACCCTCTGCTCCGGGAACAAGCCCAGTCCCTGCGGCTTGCTGTCCTGGCCGCAGGGGGGGATCTGCTGCTACCTAATCCAGGAGAAAAGACGGAAAACCGTCTCTCCTTCCTGCTGTGCCCTGCTCCCACCCATGGGTCTGAACCAGAAGGGATCCTGCAGATCCCATGGGAGATGGAAGCAGACAAGTTTGAGTCCCTGTCCCAGCTCCGTGCTGGCTTTGCAGATGGGACACACCAGGACTGCTCAGCCTTTGCCTGGCTCTGCCGCTGCCTCCAGCAGGAGAAGGGTGGGAGAAGGGTGAGATTTGCTGCTGGATCTCTGCTTTCCTGGCCACGGGGCACCCAGAGACACAAAGAAAAATCCACGGTAAGCCGTTAACAAGGAGTCTGTACTTACAGGTGAGTGACTGAAGGCAGCTTGAAGAACCACGTGTCCTCGATAACAGACAGGGGGTTATGGCGCAGTACTCTGAAATGAACCAACACCCCATGTGAGCGGGGGGTGCAGGATGAGAGTGGTGGCAGGGCCTCAGTGCTGCGTGTGTGAGGAAGGGCCTGGGGTGAAGGTTCCGAGCCTGAGCTGAAGGTTACAAGCTGGGGTAGATGCTGATGGGCAGATTCACAACATACATCAGGTCCTGACTATCTCCAGCCCAGAGAGCCAAAGCCCAGAAGTGCTGCTTCTGGAAAACACAACATCTCTTTCTTTCCTCCTCAACTCACACCTTCTGGTGGCTTCCCTCCAACAGGACTTTCCCTATTTCTCACATTCCCACTGTCCCTGAGCGTTGTCTCTGGTCCTGCACCCAGCCAGGCAAAGGCGTGGCCTGACAGAGTTGTCATTCAGCATTGATGCTGCTGCCTACTGGGGTTAAGAGGTGAGCAGAACACAGTGACAAGTGTCACTGCTCTGAGCTACCCTTAGCCCTTGGAACACTCACAGCGTCTGGAGGAACTGCATCCCGTGCCATGCCCGGAAGGTGTCGCTCCGGATCTGGGTGATGAGATTTCCCTCCAGGCTTCTGGGGAAACAGGAGACCACAGAAATGAAGACCACAGGAAGCTGGAGAGAAGCAGCACTGATCTGTAGGAAACAGCCCCATCCAAGGTGGAACTGGGGGGAAACTGCCATTTTCTCTCCTGCTGTTTGTTAACCTGTCCAGGAGAGGAGATGAAGTGCATGCGTGCTGCATCTCTGCCTGCGCCAGGACACAGCTTCTATTCCTGCTGTGTTTGCAGAAGCCATGGCCCCATCCTGGCGTGGCCACCAGCCACTCCCTGAGCTCCTGAGCTCGGCTGCTCCTTCAGCAGGAGAAACCGGAGGCCTTCTTCTAAAAATAACTGGAGCTTTTTCCAGCACCAGAAGGTTCTAAATGCAACCAGGCTTCACCAACCACACCAGGAAGGAACTCATATAACTCACATGGTCTCCAGGAAAGGAAGGTTCTCAAAAGCACGCGCCTCGATCAGCTGGATTTTGTTGTAAGATAAATCACTGTTAACAGGAGAACACAAAACGCTGGTGACATTTGCACTGTCCCGGTTCCTCTCAGGTGCTTTGACATTGGCGGCACAGACATGCCATAGCTCTCATTTCACGTGGGGTTTCTCTCCTGCACTGGCTTGCAGTGGTGTGTAACCGGAGGTCACGCTCCTGACGGGGGTGGCTGCAGCTCAGAGAGGTTCTCCCAGCTCTGATCCCACCAGGGGTATTTCAGGGCTGATTTTCCTCTCTGGTAACAGAGCAGGTCCTTTATGCATGCCCCAAGAGCACCTCTTGAGTGAGGCCTCAGGGACAGGCTGTAACGCCCTGTGTGACCAACATGGGGCTATTTCCCTTAGCTCCTAAACGTCACCTCCCTGCGCAGCCCTGCTCTGATGTGCGCAGGAGTCCTCTGGCCTGGCTCTAGAAACCAAAAGGTTCCTTGTCCCAGCCTGAACTCGCTGCCTGGGGGGCTTGTTCTGCAGCAAACAAGGAGAGAGGAACCTCTGTGGGGAGTGTTTCATGGCCTGCTCAGCCAGAGTCCCCAGCCCCATCGTGTGGGTGAATGGAAAGTGCCTGCTCCTCTCCACGGGCGATGAAGTGGCACCATGAGCTCTCTCCAAGGCAGCTCTGGGGCATCCGAGCTGAGAGGAGACGAATGCAGAAGGTTTGCCCTGGAGGAGGCGGCCTCATGTCGATCTGTGCAGGGAAAGGGCAGCAGCCACCTGCTCCTGCTCGGCCGTGGGGCAATGGGAGTGCAGCGCGTCCCTGGGGAGCCCGCCCCTGCACCAAGACCCTGCTCTGCTCTGGCTGCAGCCGGGATTCCCGCAGGAATAAAGCCCTTCCTTGGCGGGCTGCAGGGCAGCAGGGCCAGGGCAGGGGGGAGGCCGTGCCCACCACCATGGGCAGGGGGGTACTTACAGGTGCCTCAGCAGGAGCAGCCCCCCCAGCGAGCGCCTCTTCACCGCCCGCAGGTTGTTGTGCTGGAGGACTCTGCAAGAGACAGACGAACACGAACAGTGGCACCCGCGGCTCTCGGGTGCAATGGAGCTGTCAGGGGAGCAACCCTGCAGCAGTGTCACTGCGGCATCTCTCCGGGTCCCGCCACGACTCATCACGCTCATGGCAGGAGCAGGGGCTTGCTCCCAGCCTGCTGACCCTGACTGCAGCCCGAGCACGGGTTCCACAGGCCCAGGGATGGCCCCAGGGGGCAGGAGGTACACAGCCCAGGACCCTGCTCGCTACGGAACAGCTCTGGGGATTCACACAGCTCCTTGCTGAGCAGCTCGGCCTTGGCTGCACATGGCAAGCACTGGTGCGGTGCTCGGCACAGCCTCAGCTCGGCAGCTCGGCGGAGGGATGGGGATCCCGGAACCCCTGTGCCAAGTCCAATACTGGTGGATACTCACAGCTTCTCAGCCCACAGGTATCCCTTCCACGCCTGAGGGCGAATGAGGGCGAGCGCGTTCCCAGTGAAATCCCTGCGGAGAAGCCATTGGCAGCGTCACCCCCAGCACAAACCCTTCCCCTGCCCCAGGGCTGCGGGGTGGCCGTGAGGCCGGCCTGGAGCTGCCCCCTCGGCGCTGCCCATCAGCCCTCCACAGGCAGCGTGTCCCTGGAGCCGCTCTCGGGGTGTCCGGGGCAGCGCCCGGAGCTGCAGGGCACTCACAGCACGGAGAAGGGCCGTTGGGGGGTGGCCAGCGGCACGCGGGCCAGGGCAGCGCTGCTGCAGTCCAGGCGGCGCCCGCGGCAGCGGCAGGGCCCTGGGCAGGGCCCCAGGGGCCGGGCCAGGCCGGGGGCCAGGCCCAGCAGCAGCAGCAGCAGCAGCAGCGGTGCCATAGCGACACAGGGCCTGAGCGCCTTTGGTACCACACGAGGCTCAAGGCTGGGGATCCAAACCAGGAGCTCTCGTCTGCGACCAGCAGCGGATCTGGCGCTGTGCTGGCCCTGCTGGGCAGATACAGCCCGGGACACCTCACACCTCACAATGGGGCCTCGCCGCAGGAGTTGCATCGGCCGGGCCTGCGAGCGTGCGTCCCCACTGTGACATGGGACAATCCCCTGCCGTTGGAGCTGGTCGCTCTGCCCCACCTGGGGCGTGTTACAGACCAGCACATCTACGCGTGCAGCACGTCTGCGTTCAGTACGTGTTTGTGCAGTCTGTGCGCGTCTGCCACGCGTGTGTGCTGGGTGCTCTCTGAAGGCAAGGGAAATCGGCTCGTCCCAGAACGATGTGTCCTCACTGGAAAAGCTTGACTCGGATCTGGCATCACTGAAAGGACAGCAGGGACGTAACAGCAATGACATAACAGCCGTTGGGGAGGGGGTTGGAACTGCATGAACTGAAGGCGGGGCCTTCATCGCCTCCTTCGCACTTACGACCACCTTGTACAAGCCTGACACCTCACCAGCAGTGGACTGAGCCAGGGCCACCTCCCGCGGGGCAGGGATAGGAGCGGTGGGAAGCAGGCATGGGGCAGGGAGCAGGCAGAGACGCGGAGCTGTTGCCTGCTCTTGCCTGTACCTCATCCTCGTCCCTGTCTGTGTCCTTGCCTCTGCTGCACCAATTGGGCCGGACTCAGGGGCTAAGACTCAGAGGCTGAGACTCTGTGGCTGAAACGGTGGCTGAGACTCTGGGCCTCAGGCTTTGGAGCTGATACTCTCAGACTCTGGGGCTGAGACTGCTGCTGAAAGTCTATGGCTAACACTCTGGGATTCAGACTTTGGGGCTCAGACTGGGGCTGAGACTCTGTGACTCTGACTCTGGGTCTCAGACTTTGAATGTCAGACTCTGTGACAGAGACTGTAATATAGACTCTGTGGCTGAGACTGTAGCTGAGACTCTGGTGCTCAGGTTTTGGAGCTGAGACTCTCAGCCTCAGACCCTGTGGCTGAGACTGTTGCTGAGACCGTGGGGCTGGGTCTCTGGGGCTGAGACTGTGGGGATGAGACTCTGTGGCTGAGACTGTGGGGCTAAGACTGTGGGGCTGTGTGGGGGTTGGAATGTATCAAAACTGTTAGAGACCATGGGAAGGAGGAACTACAGCAGGCAATTAAGAGTGACCCGTCCCTGACTGGTACTTGGAAGTTGTTGGAACGGTCAAGGAACGAGAATGTTGGAACTGGAAAGAGGAGAATGCGCATGGTTTTGGAGGAGCAACCCCCATGCACCTCAGCTGAATAAAGAATACCTACTTTACAACTCTAAGGAGTTGGAGTCAATCCACGTATCACTTTCACCTGATGTAACCGCAAGGCAAACACAGATGTGCTCTGCTAATTGCTTGGAAGTATATAAATATTGTGTAACCTCTTCCCAGAGTCTCCCTGGTGATGCCTCCATGCATGACAGGCTGATAGTCCATAAACACTCAGGTAACGCCCCTGCCCTGCTTGCACCCATTACCCCCTTCTTTCCTCCCATGCCCACCACTTACTGAGGACTTCCAGCAGGATTTTCAGGCTCTCCCTGTCTCCCATGTTGACAGCTGCTTTGTAGATGCCACTGTCACTTTACTGGACACGCTCCTCCAGCAGGAGAGATCCATCGGATGGACGGAAAACAGCTCGTCCTGCGTAGGGTGCGTGGATGGCTGGGCTGTGGGATCCCTTGTAGTACTGCAGGATGGTGTGGGAGCTGGCACCACAGAGGTATTCCCACTGCACGGAGTAGACCTGCGTGATGTTACCCAGCCCAGGAAGCAGCACTGGGGATCCCACAGCAGCAACTTTACTCTTGAGGGTTCCAAGATTTCTGCAGCCTGTTGCAAAGGCACCGGCAGCCCTGGAGGGCAGGAGAAGAGATGAGCAGGGGAGATGGAGCAGGTTGGCATGGCTGGAGAGAGGCTTTTTTACCCAGATGCCAGGGGCACGCACATGGTACGTGGACTACTTACTTGGTCACAGCCTCTCACAAAGCCATCTCCCATCACGCCTCCAGGCAGGGAGACATTCCAGCTGGAGCAGATACAGATGCCGAAACACAGCCCAGGATGCTTGGAGCTCTCTGCTTGCAGCGCTGCAAGCTTTTTCTACTCCACTTTTGTGTGTGTTTTAGGTGGAGTTCCCTCCCAGTCCATGGCAGGAAGAGATTTTCTAATTCTGACCCAGTTTCCATGGTTCATTCCCAATTCCCAGCCTTGTTTGGGGCTGAAGGTGTCCATCCACTCCCAGCAGAGCTGCCTCTCCCAAATCACAGGGTGATTTCTGGGCTTGTCGTGACTTGGGCTCTCAGAGGCACTTGGGGACTTCAGGAGGAGGGTAAGTCACAGTGTCACCCCCTTCGTTTTTTGCCACAACCCCCCCCCCCCCCAAAAAAAAAAAAAAAATCACAACAAAACAAACCCAGTGCTTTCTAGAAAAGCCAGGCAGAATCACAACCAAAGCCCTGGGTTGGGAAGTGGAGTCTTAAAAACATACATGTTTTAAAGGGTGAATGTAAAGGGTTTAAAGCAAGGAGCCAGCCCCAAGCAGAGGAGGCAGAAGAAAAGGTGTCTATGCACAGGCGGTGGTCCATCCAGCTACTTGCTAGCAGTGTTCCTGGTGCTCCTGGGGGCTGCTCTGTTGGAGTGCCAGGATTTCTCCTAAAGCTCCTCCTCTCCTGTGTAACTGCTCCACGGGAGCATCAGCTCCCAGGCTCCCAGAGACAGGGACCAGCATCAGCCTGTCCCAGCCCCAGCCCCGCAGCCAGGCTTCCCACCGGGACACAGGCTCCAGCAGCGCTGGGACGCTGGGCAGGTGGGACACGGCACCCTGGCTCCCCACACACCCCATTTGCTTGCCGGTGCCCTGGTTTCTGCCTCATCTGCAGTGGCCGCTCACGAGTGTTTGCTGCCCATGCGGACAGCCAGAGAGAGGCTTCTGTGCCCTGCCTGCTGCTCCCGGCAGCTCTGCAGGTGGGAAAGGAGCCAGTGAATCCAGCTCACCTGATGGCTTCCATCCCTCATCCCCACAGCATCGAGAGAGGGCTCCTGCCATGCCTGCCCGCCTCACCCGCTCCTCTACTCACCTGCTCCTCTGCCGGATCATTGCCAAGCACCAGCTTTCTGTCCTGGCACCTTAGGCTTAGGAGCAGGACCTGGATATCTGCACTCTGGGATCTCGTGGTTTGAGTGTAATTTGGGGCTTTTGCAGGTGGTTTGGGGGCATTTTTGGAAGGTTTGGGGCAGAGTTTGTACTCTTCATGCATAATTTGGGGTAATTCCAGCTGTCTGGAGGCATTTGGGGTGAATGTTGAGCTGCTGTGGGGACTTGTGGGGCATTTTAGGGTATATGGGGGCTGGTTTAGGACCATCAAAGCCATTTTGTGGGTCATTTGAGCTGATTTGGGACAATTTGTGTGGGTTGTTGTGGCGGTTTGGGGCATTTCAGGCTGGTTTGGGATATTTTGGGACACTTCTAGTTTTCTTTGGGACATACTGGACCTTTTGCAGGCAATCTGGGCAGGTTTAGGGGTGCTTGGGGTGGCCTTGGAACACTTTTCTCTGGTTTTAAGGCCATTTGGGGCAGTTTGGGTTGGTTTTTGCTATTTTGGGGCGATTCAAACTGGTTTTGGTTGAGTTTTTCCTTCCTTCCAATGGGGCCTAGAGCCCGAGCATAGGACACAGAATCCCAGAATGGGACGGACTGGAAGGGACCTTAAAGCTCATCAGTTTCACCCCTGTGCCACGGGCGGGGACACCTTCCACTAGAGCAGATTGCTCCAAGCATGTCCTACACGTGGTGACCTCAGGAACAGTATCACCAACACGGATATCCTCCCTTACTTACCCACCTAAAACTGCATCTGTGAAGAGTGTAAGAGTGGCTACCCGTGTTGTTGGCAGCACTGCAGAGCTCACTGTGTGAGCCCAGCACCAGCTTTCTATCCTGGCCCCTTAAGCTTGGGAGCAGGGGCTGGATGTTTGCACTTTGGGATGCGGCGGTTTGAGTGCAATCTGGAGCACTTCTGCAAGGTTTTGAGTTGGTTTGGGGGCAATTTGGGCTGCTTGTGCATAATTTAGGGTAATTTCAGGCGTTTGGGGCATTTTGGGTGTATTTTGACGGACCCACCAGTCCATCCCTGCACCCTGCAGGGACGGTGGCAGGATGGGACCCATTGCAGCCTCCCTGCTTGCGGGAAGCATCGCTTCATGTGTCCCCAAGGACTTTATTGAACCTTTAAAACCTGAAGCATGCGGCTGGTTGGGTGTTCCCCACAGGAAGAAGAGGAAAAGGAGGAGGAGGAGGAAGAGGAGGAGGAGGCAGGGGGCATGCTGGGGCTCAGGTGGCAGGCAGCCAGACTTTCTGGGTGCTGATGATGTCGCTGAGCTTGCTCTTGATCTTCAGAAAGTGTCTTTTGAACTCCAGGCCATCACCCTGCATGGGGAGAGGTTGTGTTACCTTGCACCCACCCACCATGGTCCTGCATCACCTTGCATCCACCCACCATGGTCCTCCATCACCTTGAACCCACCCACCATGGTCCTGCATCACCTTGCACCCACCCAACATGGTCCTGCGTCACCTTGCACCCACCCACCATGGTCCTGCATCACCCTGCACCTACCTAACATGGTCCTGCATCACCTTGCACCCACCTAACGGGGTCCTGCATCACCTTGCACCACCTTGCAAGTCTCTGCATCACCTTGTACCTACTGCGCATCACCGTGTGCCCACCTTGGCGAGGCGAAAATCCACCAAGATCCTGCTCTCCATCTCCACCAGGTTCACCTTGAAGATGAGTTTGTTGTTCCTCCTGTGTGTGGTTGAGATGGTGACCTGAAAACAACAGCAAGGAGGGAGGATCCCCTGGGTTACTTACAGATACAACAGCAGGGAGGCTGCACCCCAGGATCTCGCCCCCCCCAGCACCCACCTGGTTGGTGCAACTCTTCTTCCAGCCGTACCCCATCTTCTCACACACCTCCTTCAGGGCACGGTACGAGCCGTCAGCGTCCAGCTTGGTGAAGAAGCGCGTCATCTGCTTCACCAGGCGTAACCCCTGGAAAGCTGCATCCCCTGATGGCAAAGGCTGCGAGCTGCATCGCTCAGGATGCAAACCTGCATCCCAAACATTACGAACGCTGCGAAGCTGCATCCCCTTATGGCAAAGACTGCGAGCTGCATCGCTCAGGATGCAAACCTGCATCCCAAACATTATGAACGCTGAGAAGCTGCATCCCAGTACCGCAAAACTGCTCCCTAATGGCTTAAATATTGCACAGTTGCCTCTGAATCTCACAAATATAATGCGAAGTTGCATCCCAAATGTAATAAACACGGCAAAGTTGGGCTCCGAGGTTATAAATGGGATGAAAAGTTGCAAAAGTTCCCATTTCCTTCTTATATCCAATCTAAACTTCCCCTGTTTAAGTTTTAACCCGTTACCGCTTGTCCTATCACTACAGTCTCTAATGAAGAGTCCCTCTCCAGCATCCCTATCGGCCCCCTTCAGATACTGGAAGGCTGCTATGAGGTCTCCACGCAGCCTTCTCTTCTCCAGGCTGTACAGCCCCAACTTCCTCAGCCTGTCTTCATACGGGAGGTGCTCCAGTCCCCTGATCATCCCCGTGGCCCTTCTCTGGACTTGTTCCAACAGTTCCATGTCCTTTTTATGTTGAGGACACCAGAACTGCACACAATACTCCAGGTGAGGTCTCAGTCACAGTCTTTATAAGCTCCCCAGTGTTTGCTGTTGCTTCTAAAAAACTGGTGGCACTGTCTGGCTTCAAGTGGCTTTTACATAATACAGACTGTCAGGCCAGATGATCATCACGGTCCCCTCTGGTCCTCAAATCTGTGAATCTAAAAATGAGAGGGCACCAGCACCTCCTTGCTTCTGGCTGATTGAATACGGGGAGTCACGTGTTCTCTTTATCCTCTCCTTTTCTCTCTCCCCTCCCTCCATCATCTTCAACTGAAGGTGCATTCTCCTTCCCCTGGTGCCCGGGGCTGGCAAATAACGTCGGAAGGAGCAGACCTCTCCAGCCTCGCACTGGGATATTCTCCTCCCCAATCGCAGTGCTTCACTGGTGGGATCAGGGGTGCTCGAGCTTGGAGATGGCTGGAAAACAGTGCTGAGCTCTCCTGGTTGCTTTAAAAAAAGCAACTGAAGTTCTCCTGGCTCCAGAGTGAGCTCTTTTGGGAGCCGCCGGAAGGGACCCGACCAGGCACGCTCCCCCACGCTCACACTCGTGGGCTGCACGTGTGTTCTCATGCGCAGGCACGTACGTGTGCAAGCACACACACCTGGGGGAAGAGCTTCAACGGCTCCGGCTGTTAACGGCCCTCCCAGTGCTACAACTCCCCGGGATTAATGTGATGAATTTTAAAGTCTAGAGGCGTCGACTAGGGAATCCGTCCTTTGAATCTCAAGTGTTCCAGAGTCTGAGCTATCGTGGTGCTGTATCTTCTGATACTCGCCTCTCCTCCCTCATAAGTAGCAGTATCCTTTTGAGTTGTCAGAAAAGGTAATCCAAACGTCATTTCATAAGGAAATATCCCTAAAGCCCATCTGGGTTGTGTTCGAACTCGTAAAAATGCTAAAGGCAAACACTTTACCCACGACATTTGGGTCTCAATCATTAGTTTAGTTAACGTTTGTTTCAAGGTTTGATTAATTTTTCCACTCCTCCCGAGCTTTGAGGATGCCATGGGGTGTGCAATTCCCATTTTATCCCCAAGGCTGGGGTTACTTGGTGTTCAAATTTTGATGTAAAATGTGTTCCCCTATCTGAGTCAATTCTGCTACTCATCCCATATCTAGGGATAATTAGTTCCAGAAGAGTTTTGGATACTGTATTTGCTGTAGCCCTGACAACGGGAATTGCTTCCACCCAATGAGTTAAGTGATCTACTATTTCTAATAGGAACTTCCACCTCTGCACAGGAGGGAGTTCAGTGAAATCTATTTGGATGCTTTGAAATGGCCGCATCACCAATTCACGTCCCATGGAGGTAGTTTTTCTCATAAGCTTTTTATTCACTCTTTGGCGAGTCATGCATTTATCAGTTATTTCTTTCGCTAACCCCAAAATCCCGATGCATCCATACTCCCTTAAAAAGTGGACACACAGGGCCTGTGTGCCCCAGTGAGTCTTTCAATGTATGCTTCCTAATATCTGTCTGATCAATGGTTTATTAAGGAGTTGCCTCCCATCAGGGAGTTTCCATTTCCCATGTAGATCCTGTTCTCCCCCTATTTTACTCAACTCTTTCTCTTCGGACTCTCTGGATTTTGGAATCTCCAGTTCCTCTTCCTCAGGTAACAGAACCAACATGACTCTCTCCATTCCGTTTACTGCTTCATCTCTAGCTTCTTGGTCTGCCGAATTATTTCCAGATCCAGGTTACCCGGTCCGTGTCTCATTCACACACCGATCACCCCCATATACCCGTCCAACCGAACAACACTTCCAGTCCGTTTTCTTGTCCGGGTCTTCCTGCACGTGAATTACAGGCGACCGCGGCTTTCCTGGGAGCCCTTCCCTGCTTTTGCTTTTTGAGTCCCCTTCTTTGCCCAGGATATAACCTGCAAGCGCCGATGAGACCAGAAGAAACTGAGCAAACTGCCAAAATCGGCAGGGCGCGCCCTTCACTCAGATTCCCCTAGGCCCACGGAAGCAAAGCAGGTTCTTATCCCGGACAAGCCCCCATTTGTGAAATACGAACTCACTCCTCTAAATAAGATAACAAGGTTTTATTGAGGGACAAAGTCAATAAAGCAAAAGCAACAGCGCTGGGCGCATGACCGTAGCCAGAGGCGCAAGTGATTAGCATTTGTTACAGGTTACTATACTTTCACTATTACATTAGTTACGTGCATATTCATAATTGCCGCATATAGGCGGGGAATGTTATAACTAACTCCCGGAACTTGTAAGTCCCCTCCTCTTGGCGTCTGCGCAGTGCTCTCCGGTGACTGTGGGCAGGGGTCTTGAGGATGAAGTAAGCAGTCTTCCTCTTGTGAGTAGGGGTCTTCAAGATGAAGTAAGCAGTCTTCTTCCTCACAGTGTACTTTTCACCTTGGGCACAGTTGGACCCCCCAGCAATCACACAACCAGCTGTATCTGTAATTATTCTGATAACTAGCAATGATTTAAAACAGTGTGACCCGCCTGCAAAATTTATTGCAGGATGGGCAGACAAGGAGTATCCCAAACTAGCAGATGTTTGGGAGGCACTGTCTCTAAACTAACTGATAAATAGAAGGATGGTGTGAAATAACTCATTCAAGTTTAGTGGGGCCACTAAATCCTATTATCTCACCACAGACTTACAACACAAACATTGTTCTTTAAAACTAAAGATACTTTAGAAGACTAGTGTGAAACAATTAACTCATGTTTAGTGGGGCCACTACATTCCACAGACTTACAACATAAACATTGTTCTCTTTCTACAACCTAAGTTAAGATAAAAAGTACTTTATGTTTTCCAGGCACCAGCTTTTCTTATATCAAGCCCCCCCTCTCCCCCCGTGTCTTTCTTTTACAAATTCTTTTGCTATGTGACTCCGTTTTGCTCAAGAGTTCTGGCCCTTTTTAACTTGTTGTCTAATCTTGTGTCTTTAGCGAGCTTTGTGTCTGTTACTGTAAACTGGTACAGTTATCCCCACATAACCACACCTATGATTTGCAAAAGCCAATACATCTACGTGTTTATCACATTTGCGTGCACACACACAGAGGCTCAGACACACGCATGCATGCATCCATCAACTCACAGGACACGGGCAGAACGAACAACCCAACAGTTTTATTGGTGACTTCGAAGAACTTCTATCCTGCTCCATGAATAAGGAGCATCACGCTGGGTCTCAAGGCGCTTGTGGGGCAAGCAAAAGTCGTTTCTCCTCTGCTGACACATGGGCACCAGGAACCCCTGACCAGCTTCTGGGATATCTGAAGTGACAGCAAGGACATAACAGCAATGTCACAAAAGCCATTGGGGAGGGAGTTGGAACTGAGTGAGCATTAAGCTCCCTCCCAACCCAAACCGCTCGGTGAGTTTATGCTTCTATGAACATCAAGGAAATAAGAGCTGGGAAATAATAGCTGAGAAAATAACAGCAAGGAAATAGCATCTAAGGATATAGCCAAGGAAGCAACATGAAGGAAACCCTCAGCAGTTCCTACACGGAACAAGAGCTGAACTCGGCACCAGCATTGCCACCATCACATTTACCTTATGTCAGAGACCACCTCTTCCAAATCTGACTCCTCCTCCCGAGCATCCAGCTGAGCCAGGGCCGCCTCCTGCGGGGCAGGGATTAGAGAGGTGAGAAGCAGGCATGGGGCAGGGACCGGGTAGAGGGACAGAGCTGGCGCCTGCTCCTGCCCTTACCTCCTCCTTGTCCCTGTCCGTGTCCTTGCTCCTGCTCCAGCACTTGGGCCTCAGCTTCTGAAAGCACCTGGAAACAGGGAAGAGCAGGAGGATGAGAAGTAAAGGATGAACCCCTCCAGTGCTGGAGGAGTTGGGGGGCTCTGGGCAGGGCTGGGTGCTGCTGGAGCAGAGCCTGTTGGGGCGGGGCAGGGCAGGGCAGGAGTTACCGCTTCAGGCTCCATCTGCTGCTGCCTTGGGAATCCTCGGCACGTTTCTTGGCACAAAGCTGGTGATAGAGAGACAGAGACTCGGAACATGGAGGTTTCCACAGAGAATTCTGCAGCACAGGGGAGCCGGAAGGTTCTTCCTCCAGCCCAGTGCCGTCTACACACGTGCAAGGCTGTGCCAGCAGCCACACCTTTAAGAAGAGCCCCCCCTGCCTCCCTGCCCAGCTCCCCGCTGCTCCCTGCCTCTGGAATGACCCAGAGTTCTCCTCAGCGTTGTTAATTTCTGCCTTTCTCCTCTGCACAGAGCTCTGCAGGCTCCCCGCCCCGCCCCTTCAACCACCGCCTGCAACACGCGCCATGCCTTCTAAAGACATGAAAGCTCATTTGTCTATTTGGAGGAGAAGGCCCCCGAAGGGAGGTTCAAACTCCACAGCAACGATTGGGCCCCTGCCCTGTGCCCGGGCACGGCCCCGACACGCCGGAGCCGCAGCACCATGCAGAAAGGCTGGGTATGGGCTCAGGGCAGGGAGCAGGGGCATTGCTGCACGGCTGGAAGCAACGGGTGCTGCAACAGAGCAAGGCCAGGCCAGGAGCTGGGGAGGGGATGCTTGGGGCGAGGGACTGCAGGCTAGAGCCTGGTAGGGGCTGATGGCAGAGGCTGTGATGAGAGGGAGCTGCAGCCCCCCTCAAGGAAGGAGCTGCTGGGAAGATGCACAGCAGAGCTGGGGACCGACCCTGGCAGGAGCCAGGACAAGCTGCTCCCAGCAGCTCTGAACACCTCCAAGCTCCAGGGTGGGGTAGCACAATGAGCTCCAAGTCTGGGAAGACATCTCTTGTGCACGCCAGCACATCCACAGGCATCCGCAGCAGCACCCGGGCCCCATGAGCACTGTGGGAGCACACACCCCCACCCCCCCCCCCCCCCGGGCCCCTGTGCTCTTCAGCCCCAGGGTTTGGCTGGCAGCGCTCTGGCAAACGAATCCTTGGCTCACCTTGAAACAGCACTGCACCAGGAGAGCAACGGATGTGATGAAGTTCAGTAACGGCAAGAGCACCAGTGCCAGCGGCAGCCAGCGGTCCAAGGTGTGATTGGCCATCTCCTGGGAGAAAAGGAGAGTGCATCAGGGAGAAGAGGAGCGGGGAGGGAAGGGAGGCCCCTTCCATACCCCACTGCCCAGACACACACATGCAGCCATGCCCCGTTCTCTCCTACCGTCTCTGCAGATTCACTGCCCATCTCCCTGGCCTGGACTTGGGCATGGGGACGAGAGGTGCCGGCATCCTCCTCCCGCACACACTGCTCAAGGAGGTCAGAGGGCTCCGGGTCACGCTGCCTCTCACTCAGGAGCCTCAGGAGCAGCCCCATCCTCGAGACCATCTTGGCGCAGGCCTGCTGGAGCTGGGGCAGGCCACAGTCCTCGCTCAGGGCTCGAGCCACCTGTGCCATGAACCTGCGCAGGGCTCCATCTGGCACCAGAGAGTGTAGGTGGCGGCTGAGCAGGGTGTCAAAGGGGGGTCCTCGCATGGCCGTGCTGCCCGGGGCGCTGGAGCTGCCCTGTGCCGTTGCGGTCGAGGGTTCCTGCTCCTTAGTGCTAGGTCTCTGCTCTGCTCTACCCTCTGCTGCTGCAGGCTCTTCTTCTGCACCCTCGTTGCCCACTGTCCCATCGCTGTCCTCCTGCTTCTGCTCCTCATCTGTCCCAGCAGAGTCCTGTGTTGGGGATGGTGCTTCCTCCTCATCTTCTGCGCTACCCTCATTCTCCATCCTGTCAGGCGTGTTGGTCTGCCCCATGGCGTCTGAATGATCCTGACTCTCACCAGACAGGGCGAGATGTGGGTCCTCTGTTTGGTACTGTGTAGAAGGCTGCGCTGCAGGAAGGGTGGGTGTTCTCTGGTGGCTGGAGACTGGGAGGATATCGCTGAGGTTCATACTTTTCACAGTCAGGATGCTCATGGCCTTGTGCAGCTTGTTCTTTAGCTGTGCCACGAGCCCCTCTGCTAGGAAATAGAGCCTCCTGGTGTCAATAGAGCTGCTCCAGCCCCTGTGCTGAATGCTCTGCAGCATCAGCGTCAGCTCCTTGGCGATGTTGCCCTCCTGCCTCGAGAGCTGCTGAGGGGAAGGTGCTGATGCATCGAGGCTGCTCAGGCTCCAGGCAACTGTGAGCGTGACGGTTCTCTGCTCCCCGAGTGAAGGCTCCTTAGGCTGGAGATTCAACACGGACCTGTTGTTCCCTTTCTTGGGGGGCACCGGTCCCATTAGGAGCCCTGGTGTCTCTGCCAGGGGAGCTGTAACACACCAAGAGCACTTCAGTGACAAAGAGCTTTCTGCCAGACACAGGCTCAGAAGGTTCACTATAGCTGGGGGACATGGGCAGGGCTGTGGGCCAGTTACCGCAGCGGGGAACAGTGCTGTTGCACACGCTCATGCAGTCGAAGCTGAGGGTCCTGCACGGGGTCTCAGTGCTGTGCTTGTGCTGGCAGAGGCAGCAGGCCGTGTCGATGGACAGCTTGCTAAAGAACAGAGGTTGTGCACAAACACTCAGCATCGCGACCCAGGGCAGCGACTCCAACCCAGGTGGCGCACAGAAACGCCTCAGGGGTCTGCTTCAGTGTCTGCTGCAGCTCTGGGAAACTTCCCCTCGCTCCCTGTGTCCCAATGGATACTTTTGTGCTGCTGGGTTTGTTCCCCACACAGACCCTTTGTCCCAGCAGCCGGGATCTGCTGGAGGTGGGAGCCAGCCCCCGCACACTCACAGTGTTTCCAAACGGGATGTTCTCAGGAGCAGCATGAGCAGCGTCTGCCGAGTCACTCGTGTGGCACCCAGGTCCCTGCAAGGGTTTCAAGAAACACATTACATTTGAGGTGGCGGCACCAGCCTCTGCTCCGGGAACAAGCCCAGTCCCTGCTGCTTGCTGTGCTGGCCGCAGGGGGGGATCTGCTGCTACCTAATCCAGGAGAAAAGACGGAAAACCGTCTCTTCTTCCTGCTGTGCCCTGCTCCCACCCATGGGTCTGAACCAGAAGGGATCCTGCAGATCCCATGGGACATGAATGCAGACAAGTTCGAGTCCGTGTCGCAGCTCCGTGCTGGCTTTGCAGATGGGACACGCCAGGACTGCTCAGCCTTTGCCTGGCTCTGCCGCTGCCTCCAGCAGGAGAAGGGTGGGAGAAGGGTGGGATTTGCTGCTGGATCTCTGCTTTCCTGGCCACGGGGCACCCAGAGACACAAAGAAAGATCCACGGTAAGCCGTTAACAAGGAGTCCGTACTTACAGGTGAGTGACTGAAGGCAGCTTGAAGAACCATGTGTCCTCGATAACAGACAGGGGGTTATGGCGCAGGACCCTGAAATGAACCAACACCCCATGTGAGCGGGGGGTGCAGGATGAGAGCGGTGGCAGGGGCTCAGTGCTGCGTGTGTGAGGAAGGGCCTGGGGTGAAGGTTCCAGACCAGGGCAGATGCTGATGGGCAGATTCACAACATACATCAGGTCCTGACTATCTCCAGCCCAGAGAGCAAAAGCCCAGAAGTGCTGCTTCTGGAAAACACAACATCTCTTTCTTTCCTCCTCAACTCACACCTTCTGGTGGCTTCCCTCCAACAGGACTTTCCCTATTTCTCACATTCCCACTGTCCCTGAGCGTTGTCTCTGGTCCTGCACCCAGCCAGGCAAAGGCGTGGCCTGACAGAGTTGTCATTCAGCATTGATGCTGCTGCCTACTGGGGTTAAGAGGTGAGCAGAACACAGTGACAAGTGCCACTGCTCTGAGCTACCATTAGCCCTTGGAACACTCACAGCGTCTGGAGGAACTGCATCCCGTGCCATGCCCGGAAGGTGTCGCTCCGGATCTGGGTGATGAGATTTCCCTCCAGGCTTCTGGGGAAACAGGAGACCACAGAAATGAAGACCACAGGAAGCTGGAGAGAAGCAGCACTGATCTGCAGGAAACAGCCCCATCCAAGGTGGAACTGGGGGGAAACTGCCATTTTCTCTCCTGCTGTTTGTTAACCTGTCCAGGAGAGGAGATGAAGTGCATGCGTGCTGCATCTCTGCCTGTGCCAGGACACAGCAAGACTCAAGACACAGCTTCTATTCCTGCTGTGTTTGCAGAAGCCATGGCCCCATCCTGGCGTGGCCACCAGCCACTCCCTGAGCACCTGAGCTCTGCTGCTCCTTCAGCAGGAGAAACCGGAGGCCTTCTTCTAAAAATAACTGGAGCTTTTTCCAGCACCAGAAGGTTCAAAATGCAACCAGGCTTCACCAACCGCACCAGGAAGGAACTCCCATAACTCACATGGTCTCCAGGAAAGGAAGGTTCTCAAAAGCACGTGCCTCGATCAACTGGATTTTGTTGTAAGATAAATCCCTGTTAACAGGAGAACACAAAACGCTGGTGACATTTGCACTGTCCCGGTTTCTCTCAGGTGCTTTGACATTGGCGGCACAGACGTGCCATAGCTCTCATTTCACGTGGGGTTTCTCTCCTGCACTGGCTTGCAGTGGTGTGTAACCGGAGGTCACGCTCCTGACGGGGGTGGCTGCAGCTCAGAGAGGTTCTCCCAGCTCTGATCCCACCAGGGGTATTTCAGGGCTGATTTTCCTCTCTGGTAACAGAGCAGGTCCTTTATGCACGCCCCAAGAGCACCTCTTGTGTGCGGCCTCAGGGACAGGCTGTAACGCCCTGTGTGACCAAAATGGGGCTATTTCCCTTAGCTGCTAAACGTCACCTCCCTGCGCAGCCCTGCTCTGATGTGCGCAGGAGTCCTCTGGCCTGGCTCTAGAAACCAAAAGGTTCCTTGTCCCAGCCTGAACTCTCTGACTGGGGGGCTTGTTCTGCAGCAAACAAGGAGAGAGGAACCTTTGTGGGGTGTGTTTCATGGCCTGCTCAGCCAGAGTCCCCAGCCCCATCGTGGAGGTGAATGGGAAGTGCCTGCCCCTCTCCACGGGCGATGAACTGCACCATGAGCTCACTCCAAGGCAGCTCTGGGGCATCCGAGCTGAGAGGAGACGAATGCACAAGGTTTGCCCTGGAGGAGGCGGCCTCGTGCAGGTCTGTGCAGGGAAAGGGCAGCAGCCACCTGCTCCTGCTCGGCCGTGGGGCAATGGGAGTGCAGCGCGTCCCTGGGGAGCCCGCCCCTGCACCAAGACCCTGCTCTGCTCTGGCTGCAGCCGGGATACCCGCAGGAATAAAGCCCTTCCTGGGGCGGACTGTAGAGCAGCAGGGCCAGGGCAGGGGGGAGGCCGTGCCCACCACCATGGGCAGGGGGGTACTTACAGGTGCCTCAGCAGGAGCAGCCCCCCCAGCGAGCGCCTCTTCACCGCCAGCAGGTTGTTGTGCTGGAGGACTCTGCAAGAGACAAACGAACAGTGGCACCCGTGGCTCTCGGGTGCAATGGAGCTGTCAGGGGAGCAACCCTGCAGCAGCGTCACGGCGGCATCTCTCTGGGTCCCGCCACGACTCATCACGCTCATGGCAGGAGCAGGGGCTTGCTCCCAGCCTGCTGACCCTGACTGCAGGCCGAGCACATGGCAAGCACTGGTGTGGTGCTCAGCACAGCCTCAGCTCGGCAGCTCGGCGGAGGGATGGGGATCCCGGAACCCCTGTGCCAAGTCCGATACTGGTGGATACTCACAGCTTCTCAGCCCACAGGTATCCCTTCCACGGCTGAGGGCGAATGAGGGCGAGCGCGTTCCCAGTGAAATCCCTGCGGAGAAGCCATTGGCAGCGTCACCCCCAGCACAAACCCTTCCCCTGCCCCAGGGCTGCGGGGTGGCCGTGAGGCCGGCCTGGAGCTGCCCCCTCGGCGCTGCCCATCAGCCCTCCACAGGCAGCGTGTCCCTGGAGCCGCTCTCGGGGTGTCCGGGGCAGCGCCCGGAGCTGCAGGGCACTCACAGCACGGAGAAGGGCCGTTGGGGGGTGGCCAGGGGCACGCGGGCCAGGGCAGCGCTGCTGCAGTCCAGGTGGCGCCCGCGGCAGCGGCAGGGCCCTGGGCAGGGCCCCAGGGGCCGGGCCAGGCCGGGGGCCAGGCCCAGCAGCAGCAACAGCAGCAGCAGCAGCGGTTCCATAGCGACACAGGGCCTGAGCGCCTTTGGTACCACACGAGGCTCAAGGCTGGGGATCCAAACCAGGAGCTCTCGTCTGCGACCAGCAGCGGATCTGGCGCTGTGCTGGCCCTGCTGGGCAGATACAGCCCGGGACACCTCACACCTCACAACGGGGCCTCGCCGCAGGAGTTGCATCGGCCGGGCCTGCGAGCGTGCGGCCCCACTGTGACATGGGACAATCCCCTGCCGTTGGAGCTGGTCGCTCTGCCCCACCTGGGGCGTGTTACAGACCAGCACATCTACGCGTGCAGCACGTGTGCGTTCAGTACGTGTTTGTGCAGTCTGTGCGCGTCTGCCACGCGTGTGTGCTGGGTGCTCTCTGAAGGCAAGGGAAATCGGCTCGTCCCAGAACGATGTGTCCTCACTGGAAAAGCTTGACTCGGATCTGGCATCACTGAAAGGACAGCAGGGACGTCACAGCAATGACATAACAGCCGTTGGGGAGGGGGTTGGAACTGCATGAACTGAAGGCGGGGCTTTCATCGCCTCCTTCACACTTACGACCACCTTGTACAAGCCTGACACCTCACCAGCAGTGGACTGAGCCAGGGCCACCTCCCGCGGGGCAGGGATAGGAGCGGTGGGAAGCAGGCATGGGGCAGGGAGCAGGCAGAGACGCGGAGCTGTTGCCTGCTCCTGCCCGTACCTCATCCTTGTCCCTGTCTGTGTCCTTGCTCCTGCTGCACCACTTGGGCCAGACTCAGGGGATAAGACTCAGAGGCTGAGACTCTGTGGCTGAAACGGCGGCTGAGACTCTGGGCCTCAGGCTTTGGAGCTGATACTCTCAGACTCTGGGGCTGAGACTGCTGCTGAAAGTCTATGACTAACACTCTGGGATTCAGACTGGGGCTCAGACTGGGGCTGAGACTCTGTGGCTCTGACTCTGGGTCTCAGACTTTGAATGTCAGACTCTGTGACAGAGACTGTAATATAGACTCTGTGGCTGAGACTGTAGCTGAGACTCTGGTGCTCAGGTTTTGGAGCTGAGACTCTCAGCCTCAGACCCTGTGGCTGAGACTGTTGCTGAGACCGTGGGGCTGGGTCTCTGGGGCTGAGACTGTGGGGATGAGACTCTGGCTGAGACTGTGGGGCTAAGACTCTGTGGCTGAGACTGTGGGGCTAAGACTGTGGAGCTGTGTGGGGGTTGGAATGTATCAAAACTGTCAGAGACCATGGGAAGGAGGAACTACAGCAGGCAATTAAGAGCGACCCGTCCCTGACTGGTACTTGGAAGTCGTTGGAACTGGCAAGGAACGAGGATGTCAGAACTGGAAAGAGGGGAGTGCGCATGCTTTTGGAGGAGCAACCCCCATGCACCTCAGCTGAATAAAGCATACCTACTTTACAACTCTAAGGAGCTGGAGTCAATCCACGTATCACTTTCACCTGATGTAACCGCAAGGCAAACCCAGATGTGCTCTGCTAATTGCTTGGAAGCATATAAATATTGTGTAAGCTTTGCAATAAACGATCCAGCTTGCACTCTACCTCTGGGTCCGTGCCTCCGTCCTCACAGGGCTGAGACTGTGGTGGTCAGATTTTGGAACATACTCTGGCTGAGACTCACAAATGAGGACTCTGGCACTGAGACTCGGGCTACGACTGTAGGTCTGAGACTCGGGCTAAGACTCCTGGGCTGGGACTGTGGGGCTGAGACTCTGGGGCTGAGACTCTGGGGCTGGGACTCTGGGGCTGAGACTCTGGGGCTGAGACTCTGGGCCTCAGACTTAGGAGCTGAACACTGTCCTGGGTTCAGCAGTAGCAGTCACTTTTTCTCCTTAGTAGCTGGTGCAGCGCTGTGTTTTTGACTTTCAGCCTGGGAACAGTAATGCAAAAAGATTTAACCAATGTACAGGCAGGGGTAGTGTTAAGCCGCTTGCTTAACGATGTTAATGCTTGCCCATACTCCACAAACATTTTTCATGCTCATTATGCTGTGCTAGAACAGGATGGGAGGACACGGCTACTGGTAAGAGGAAGGAACAGTAATCTGGCTCCTGCTTTCTGGGTCCTGAAACTGGCTAGAGCCAGCTTTGTGGTTTGGACAATGACCAAGTCACCAGGGAGCATGAGCAACTATTAGAGGTAAAAAGTTTAAGCAGAGGAAGAGTCATTGACTTCATCTTGAGACCCTCACCCACGACCACCGGGAGTTACTGCGCAGCCGCAAAGGACCGTTTAGCTCATTATAATACGAAGCAGGGATAGGACATGAATATGTATAGGCATGTTGTGTAACCTAATACGTACGTATAATTTTAGAGAATATACGTCGACCGATAGAGCGGCTGCTAGCGATCCTGAGGGTGGATCGGGTGAGTCCAGGGACTCGTTGGCCGATAGGGCAGTGTAACCAGGTGAGAACTGGGAGGGCTTATAGTTGGTTTTGAAGTGGGATAAGCTTTCCCTGCTGACAGCCTCCCTGGGGAGTTCTTGACTTCCTGTCTAGCCCTGTGCTGGTGGCAGGGCCTGGTATCACACCATCCTCAACAGTCACTCCCAGCTTCTTTCCACCATGGATCCTGAAGCTGGCAGCTTTCTTTGGGCTCCTCTTCTCTCCTGTGAGGAGCAAGGGTGCACAGGCACTTTGGTAACCAGGGGGACGTTTCTCTAAGCTCGATAATTTTGCCACCTTCCCTCCCTCCTCTGTGAAGTTGCTCTTGGTCACACTCCAGCACTTGAGACATGAGCCACGAGCCACAGCGATGAGCCAGCCAGAGCTACAAGTCCTGTGCTGAAGCTGAGCACAGCTGTTGATTTTTCACCCTGGGGCTGGTATGCAGAGAACCTTACAGCATCTCTTCTCTCCCCATTCACGGCAGGTTCGGGCGGATGGGACAAATGGAAACTGAGTCACGTCTGTGTTTCCCGATGGGGACCACACGCTTGGCAATGCCCTCCACTACATGGTTGTGAGGTAAGTGGAGTCACCACAGCCCCTGGTACCACTGGGGGTTCCTCTGTCTCCTGTTCTGCCCTTCTTCACTAAGTTGCATCTCAGTTGCTGCTGGAACAAGGCAAAACTACCTCTGTGCATGCCTGTTGGAGAATTTATATCAGAGCTCGTGCCAGAGGCTCCTTACCTACCCCCTCCCTTAACAGGATTCAGTTTTCTCCTTGTGCTGTTAGCCTTGAGAGCGCTAATAGGCCTTGATGAGTATGACCAGCCTCACCTGGGGCCTCCACACACACCCTGCCCACAGGCTCAGGAACCCCATTTAAGCTTAGCTTAGGCTTTCAGTCCCTCCTGAGCTATGTTGTATCTATATGGGTCTTCAGCTCAGCTTGTACTGAGCTGTTGGATGCTGACCCATGGGCTGACTTCCTGACCCAACATCAGCCTCTCCTCAATGTTGTACATTGTACATCTGCTTGGTGCTCATAGGTTTTGTCTGACCCTCTTTACCCTCACCCGACCTGCAGGTTGTCTTCCTGACCCGGCCTCGCACCTATTTCACCCCCACAAACCTGCCTGGTGACCTGGACCCTTGGCTGGCCCTGGCTACCACCTTTGCACCTTTGTTCATGCTCCCAGCTCCCCGTCCCGTAAGGAACAGCCAGCCCTCGCTGCTCTGATGGTTAGTAGAGAGGAAATGGAATGGCAGACATGTGACAGATTTCTGAATGTCTTACGTGGCTCTGGGTAAAATGATGTGCAACTCTGTAAGTACAGGTGGTCAGGCAGTACCTATGTCGCCTTCTGGGGCAAGTGCTGTCAGAAAAGAGGGTAGGAACAGCCAGTATTAAGCAAATTGATCCCCTTTAATGCTTCCATCAAGATGCAGGAATTGGTGCTGGAAATTAGTAATCCTGCTGCCCCCATTAAAATATACAAATGCCTTCACTGGTTTTATCCAGCTGGGAGGCACTGGGGGTTTGTGAAGACTCACTGGGAAGGCTCAGAAGAATTCCAGCAGGAAGTTCAATGCACCATCTCAAATGACAGTCGCATTGCAAATGCTGTGTGAATTCCTCTGATGTCTCACCATGACAAGAAAAAGAGCAGCCTTCTTGTGAGGGGCTGTGCTTTCTGCTGTGTGCGCAAATGTTCTACCAACCACCTCGGCTTGTGAAGGCAGATGTCATGCAGTCTGCAAACATCTTGTGGTGCCCTAGACCCATCTGCCTCCTTTGCCCAGCAGAATTGCAACAGGTCTGTGTGGAGGGAGGCTTCCACGCAGCCAGGATCCCCTGTTTGACCAGGGTGCCAGCCAGGTCTTTCCCCTGCCAAGTTCCAGCTGC